CCGATCTCCCCAAAACCCCAAAACCCCAAATTGCAAATTCTAATGTAGAGGTGGAATTGAGGAAAAAAATAAATAAATTAATTTCATGAAAAAAGTTAATCTGAAAGAGAAATCGATTGAATAATTATACAGAAAAATAGATTTAATAGATAAAGGAGCTTTTAACACTGTTTATGAAATGGAAGAAATCTAATCGCCAAATAGAAGGGTTGCTGTTAGAGTGCTTGACCTTGTCGAAATGTTTAAATGAAATTAAGGATTACAATTTTTAACTCTAATGAGAGAGATTAAGACATTTGAGCTCAAGCATCCATATATTGTGGAATTTATAGATTCTTTTATAGACAAGAATAATTTTGTGAGTATTTTTGAGCTTGCCAGTTTAAGTCTTGATAAGATCATAGCAAGTTATATTGGTAAGTACATTTTCATTTTGTAGTTTTTGAATCTAATACATATTTTAGTTGAAAAATGAAATATGACCATAGTTCAAATATGTTAAATCATGGTTTAACTCTTAATGGCATTAGAGCATCTACACAGTAAGAGGACTATTCACAGAGACATAAGTGCTGTTAACATTCTATATTTTATGGAATAAGAAGTGTTTAAACTAGCTGATTTCGGAGTTGCTACTTTTGGAACAACTTACAATAATGCAGGAAAACAAGATTACATGGCTCCAGAGGTTATATAAGTTTAAACAAGAGGTTATAACGAGAAGGTTGATATTTGGTCCATGGGTGTTGTCCTGTATGAACTATGCACTTTTAAGAGAAAATATAAAGAATAATTGCTATCTTCATTTAGAACAAGAACTACAAGTAAACCTGAAATCATAATTTTACCAGAGCAATACAAAACGTTATAGTCAATTCTCAACAAACTTACACAATATAGTCCTACCTATCGACCAACTGCCACAGAAGCTTTGAAATTATTCTTAGAGGAATTAAACGACTTAAGCATTTATTAATTGTATTCAGAAAAAAAGCTAGAGCTTTAAAAAGAAAAGTTATTATCGAAAATTGAAAATGGAATACTAGAATTTAAAGCATCGGTGGGTATGAGAAGTTCAGATAGTCTTATTAGTAATACATTAGATTAATAAAATCTACAGAGTTAAAGTTTGAGCAATGAAATTTAGTAATAGCAATAAATTAGCAATCTTGACCAGTTATTTATAAGTTCATAACTTCAGAATTAAGCATAAGGAAATATGAAATCCTCTTTAGATTAACTATCTCTGCAAAGAGAGTTAAAGACTAAATCTAATAAACTTTATAATAAACCTTGGAAACCATTTAAAGTAGTTCCCAATTAAGAAATAGCTAAATTGACAGCAGTATATGGCTACGAAGAAAAAATACTAGTCGGCAGAGAATTAGGTAACATAGCTGTCTTTGATCAGAATTTCTAATTGAAAAAATCAATTGATAACAAAGATCTAATTAGAGGAATCAATGAAAGAGCTGGGACAGATAACCAACCATGCTTGCTTTTCAATTGTAGAAACATTTATAATTCTAATAGTTAATGCATTCTTGCTGGCTGCGGAAGATACCTTAAAATTTTATGCAAGAAAAATGATTTCACTAATATTAAGACTATTGACTTTGAAAAAGAGATAAAGACAATTATTCTTCATGATTTCCAGATATTTAGAAATGCTCTCATAGGATTGTCTGATAACAGCCTATTCTTCCTAAAAGATACTGAAAAATTTTAAAGCCTTGAAATATCATTTGGCTTTAAACTGCCAGACAATGAAGCCAAGATCAATCATGCTTGTACATTGCGTAATTTTGAAAAAAATTGGGTATTTGTAGCTACTAATAAAGGTATTTACTATTTTCTAGGGGACGAAGGAAGGGTTTAAGATGGGAAATTAAAAGTGCAAATAGATAAAATAAACTAACTAGGAGATTACTTCTTTTATTCTGTTGAAACTATGCTTAACTATAATATCGCAGTTTCAAAGCATGGCTTGATACAGATTTACAATTTCTAAGAAAAAGTGATTCTAAAAGAGATTGATACAAATGGTGAATGGTCAATACTTTAGAATATGGTTACATTTACTCTAATAAAAACATAGTCAAAGCTATTGCTTTTGCATTTTTAAACCTTTAAAACAATTGAGCTAGCAAAATCAATTCATATAGGTGATATGCCTTCTTAGTCATTAATGAGTATTGCATAGGGAAATATACGTTAGCCTATAAGAATCATTGACATATAACTCAAGAGAGATAAAATTGATAAAAATCGACATATTTCAAGTATCAGAGAATTGAATTTCAGTGTTGAAAAGATGGAAGAAATACTTACTGTATGCAAAATACTGGCAGAGGTAAGCTAACCTTTTTGCTTGATTATTATAATATAGATAGCTGAATTAGTGGAAAGTAAGGAGAATGAAAGTAATTCAAATTTGGAATTTGAGTAGCTTAAGTTACTATAATCACATTTCCTATCTAATGAAATTGTAAGATAAACATATGGCAGTTGGATTTATGAAATTATGATTGCTAATTTAAAGTAGAAAGGTGGAGACCCTTGCATTATATGCGAGAATGAAGCTAATTTATATCTTATAATGAAAATATTGGTTTTAGCTTTAAAAAATCTGTCAACTGGATAAATTTACTACTCTTTTAACGTAGATATATTCAAGTTTATTGAAGATTTAAATACGAATGTTATCAAAATGAATGAGCATTTATTTAATGGTGGAAAGTTAATTGATCTTATTAATCAGTTGACAAGTATGATAAAATTAGATGTCAGGTTGCAAGAAAAAGGATTAAGATCATTTGCTAAGCACTTA